CGCAAAATCGAATACTGTGACTACGTACGTACACATTAATTGCTGGACGAAACAGTTTCTTTTATTCTTTCCCCTTTCCTCGTCGACGCCTGTACCTTAACTAGCTAATCATGCCCCTGCGCGATCGACGCGATCGTCGGACTCCGTACAGAATGTACAATTCGCGGCGAGCGTATTACGCGGATACGAGTAATTAGTTGGTGATTTGCAAGATGAAACGAGACAGGACGAAGAGAATCGTTTGTGATGCTCGATTGAGGAATTACAGCGACAGTGACGCCTCTGTTTTGATGTACTCTTGTTATTTGTTAAATCGTGTAACAAATGTAACGAAGTGAAATGATGCGATGGAAAGTGACATTGGCGTAAAGCTAAGAGTTTATTTGAGAAAACGTTGAGAATAATTGTAGGATAATGCCGTCCAACTCGAGAGATAATTACAGTTCCTGACAAATTAGGGCCACCTATAGTTTTTAACCCCTTGCACTCGAAAGTTTTTCACTAGAAATATTCAATATTTTCCGACGAGATATAGACGACATTGTTTGAAACTAACGATAATTCGCAGATAAATTCAGCTGCAAAGCTATTTTATTTAAATATTTCACATAGCAATACAAAGTTTAATTTAAAATACCAAATATTCAACTTCATAGTTTTGTTGTATCAAATCAAGTGGTGACTGTGAGTCACCTCTCGAGTGCAAAGGGTGAATATTTTTCATAATAAAGTATTAGAAGCCCGAAAGGTAATTTAAGAATCATTTTTCCATTGCAATGTTAAGACAGAGATTTAAGTGAGAAAATTAAGCTTGTGTCATAAGAAGTTAATGAGGAAACGACCAGATATAAGTATCCCATTAATTAAACGACATTCATTGCTGATCTCGAGTGACACCAATAGAGGCCATGATTTCTTGATCAGGAACTATAGTGGATAACAGCGATAATTTTACTTTCAAATGCGCCGTATCCTAAGATTCTACGTTTCTAACTTGATTTACGAATTTTGTAATAATCATTCAAATGTCCCGCAGTCTTAGAGGATTACACGAACAGACGATCTTCTTCGCCCTTATAGAATTTTATCTTGTAAACAACTAATCTCTCATTCCCGTATAATACGCGGCGTCTCTATATTTTAGCGCACCACCACTTGTTCGGGCTTGCAGTGACAAATTTAACGAACGTCGACACAGGACCCAACGATTACGTCTCGACTCGCGCGCGCGTCTTACTATACGTGTGCCTGATCATTTGTGTTTCACTGTGCAACGGAAAAAGAAGAGAATCTCGAGGATAGCCTTATTGAATCGTTCGATTCAATGGTTCAAAAGCTTCGTCATCGACTCCGCGAGCAACGGTAGCGTCGCAAATTTTTGTGCAATCGGATACACCCGGTTTGCTTCGATCTCCGTTCGTCCGACATCCGCCGAGTTCCTCTCCTTACATTCACCGATTTCGGTATCATACAAAAAATATTCGCGTGCACCCGCGCGCTCGAATATAAAATATACCTTCTTCTAATAATTTCCCTTTTCCCGCTGATCCGGTAAGTTTGGGGCCAATGGTTTTCGTCGTCCCTGTATCATCTTTAGTTCTCTCTATCTTCGTCTTCTATTATCATCGTCATCAACAACGTTTCTTTTAATGACAGAAAGGTAATTTTCTAGACGAAGGAGTGGCTCGCAGTGTCTACGTTAGTCGCAGAACGAGTTTACTCGCCGAGGCCATCAAGAGAATTTATCCCACTACGATTTTCAGAACGCATCTCGTCTCGCATCGATCCTGGAAAATGTACCGTCGAGCGTCCGTTCTGTCTCTCGGAAGGGGAATAAACGAGATATCACGCGTGGGTGTATTTTTCCTGAGTCGTTCAACGACCCCAAACCTACGGACAGTGTCGCGCTTCGACATTCGGCTAGGTTAAACGCTAACTGGACATTTACAGTGAACTCTGATCCTGAAAAACTATGTTCGTTACCGCCCCTCTCGTCCTACCCAGATCGCCCAGAAGCTTCTCCGCCTATAAAACATCGAAGAGAGAGATGCTGGCTTTGGTATAATCGATATAGTCTCTCCTAAATACACGTCTGTAAATGCTAAATCGATAAAAAATAACTATTCTTCATTACCTCCATCTGTATGTACAATATTATAATGCGCACGTTTAAAACACCGGCAGAGCACGATTTCCGTCGGCGTCGCTGCTGCTGCTGCTGCTGCTCCGGCTGTTTCGCAATCGTCTTCCCCCCCGCCGGTGGTTCAGAATCGAAGAGAATGACAAGGTCTACCGTTCGTTTGGTCTGTTCAATTGACTTCTTTTTCGTTCGTTATCGGCAAACAGAAAAACGTGGCGTTCATGGCCGCCGTGAAGCTCCTAAGTGGATTCGGCGAAACGTCACCGTCGACGGCGGACGTCCCTTAAAAAATAATACACTGTCAACTAGGTCTCTTCAGTTCTGAGCCGTCGTAGTCGGTTCCCGACAGATGGGACTCGCAGTTACGCTAATCGTGAGTTACACTCTTCGGCACGATGCGGAGGTTTGCTTTGATTAACGCGCTCGCTGTCGCCACTGTGCTCCGTAATTGTTAGTCGTTTCAATATAGGTGCGATTAATTGACAGCGGACGCCTTAACACGCTCTATTCGTGCTGGTACAACATACATAGAGCGTTCCTAAGTTGCAGATCTCAGTGACGGAGTCGCACAAGGCGCGACGCTCGGAGGATCAGTTATTTTTATCACTCGAAGGGTGGAAAAGGAATTCGTTTCATTATCCGCGGTGTCCACCCTTCGTGGCTCTCGAAATCTTTTATATTACACAAGAGAAATCGTCGAACAGTATATATATATATATATATATATATATGTACATACACGATATATATATAATGTTGAAATCGTTGAACACTTTACAACAGTTAGATCGCTTGATAGCGCCTCGACGAGCCACTGAGCCTGGTCTGCAACTCAAGGACGACGTTAATAATCCACGTCTGTTCCTAAAGGCATTACACATGAATCACGTACACCTGGAATGATCCCTTTCTTTCGATTACGCCTCGGAATTGCTCGATTAGTCGTGTCCCGCCTTACGCCTTTCGACAAGAGAACCACGCTGTTGTAACAGAAACTCGAAACGATTTAAGAAGAACTCATGATGCCCCGCGTCAAATCGTCGCGACCCGACACCGTCTGTACTTCGAAATCGCGGCACACCGGTTATCATTTTCCCTCGTCCGACCAAAAATTTCCTCGGTAAAAAGAACGTTCCAACGGTAATCCAAGTAATAACGATGGCACTATGATATCTTCTTCGGTACAAAAAGTGCGATACAATAAAAAAGGGAATACAAAAGTTGTACGATTAGCAAAAACCCAATGCCTTCCCGACCTCGGTATATAAACGTGTAAAAGCTAAAACCGCTGGAATTTTTTTACCTAATCTTCGTGTATTATTTCTTTTTTTTTTATAACCAACACTGCTTAATTCATCGTTAAGCATATGACGCAAAGTTTACGTACATCTATACATATACATGTATCCGCGCGTGCGCGCGCATGTGTTTGAGTGTATGTGTCTCTCTGTGTGTGTGTGTGTGTGTAATGCGCGTGTCGTGTACATTCATTTATCGTAACGTTTAAGTAGGATTCGTTGAATTTGTTGCGATGCCTCGCAGAAAAGCAATCCGACGTGCGCGTTAATTCGATTAATACAAAAGAACGGCCCTGCTCGAAACGTGCGAACCTCGCGTTTTAAAAACGTCGAACGCTTGAGACCCGTCTAGGATCGACGCGACGCGTTGTTCCGACAATTATTGAAATGCGAAGATCGGCCGCACAACCCTTCTCGGCTGGTCGCTGATAGGACCGTGTCGCTAGACCGTTCACCGGCCGAAAAAACGTGAACGTCGGTCGAAAGGATCGAACATTGCGACCGATTCGCTCGAACGACGCTCCTAACTAGAAATTCGTGAAACCTTCGAAGGCTCTCGCGATCATCTTTTTACAGTGTCGCGCGGCTAGGACTACGGGCGCGTGGTCTCCGCGCGAGAGAAACTCTTTCATCAGTCCCGATTACAATAGATTTCGTTCGTTTAATTCGACTTCGTTCGTCGGGGGCTGTCCCCCGAGTAACAGATTAATTGAGTAGTACCTGCGCTGACCTTGATCCATCAGGACAACGAAAAGAATCCAGTGAACGGAAAAGGGAACGCACGAAGTGTACGCTCATCCGGAGGATGGTCTACAACGAAATAAAACTACAACAGTTCTAGGACAACAAATAAATAATAGTCGTGCCCGGCCCTAAGGAGACGGCCATCTTCTGTTTTCCCCGAATGATCTCACCGAACTTGCGACTGTCTACGGTCGACATGGATAAATTTTCAACGTGTAACACTGGCTGCGCGATTACGCTCTATACTGGCCATGTGATTAAAGTTACAGAAACGACTGTCGGTTTATAGTCCCCTATTCAGAGACTTCGCTCCGCTGCCCCGAGAAAATATAGTGTTCGCCCATCGACTCTAAAAACGAATAACGGTCCCCGAAACGTGGATCCGCCGCTCGCGGCCGATTACAGCTAGAATAAATACGTTATCAGCTATGTTTTCTTCATTTTTCGGTGTATCCTCTTGCAACGGTGTGTTCAGTCTTTGATGCCTCGTTACTTGCCACGAAAGAATGCGTCAAAGCGTAAAGTAGCTCCGTCGCGACGAGTGTTCGCCGATCTCTGCTCCGAATGTCCGGCCACCGCTTTCCTTTTTCTTTCAATTGTTCTCCTTTGTGCAACGATTAGTACCATTCTAAGCGTGTTGTCGTCTCGTGTCGGGTAAGAAACGATCGTTTGGAAAATGACAACGTTCCGAACGAACGGCGATCGCGACGCGTGGAGCGGTAGGTCCCGATCGATCCTCGATCTCGCCTCTCGCGATGCTCGTGCGTGTACCATTCCGATGGTACGGTTCCCTGGTTGAATCCTCCTCCCCATCGAGTCGTGATACTCTTATAAAATTAGCTTCATCGGCGATACAGAGTTCTGGAACATTGGACGTTTCGCTGTTTGGTACAGGTCGATAGTGCCGGAACGACTTGGTCAGGCCTCCGTCTACCCTTTCAGCCTGAGACGCGCGAAATCCTCGAAGATTATGTCGTCGTCGCCGTCCGCCTCTCTGTAATCGTAAACGATCAATCTTTCAGACACGATGAATGTATTCTCTATACGTAGATCAAGGGTTTTACGCGCTTATTGGAAATTAGAGTGAAAGACTGCTCAGGATGCACCCGATGTAGATGAATGAACGTATCGAAAGTGTATTGCTTTTGTAATTCTTAACACTAAAATCACCGAACATCCAGATTGATCTTCCTTAATTTTTCTATAGAAACTAGAGTGCATCTCTTAAGAGTTAAATCGAGTTATAGTTCGTTGTGTATTACTAAATTAATTTCAGCGAATTCTCAAAGGAGCGTCTATTATCTTTTCAGTACTTCTAAGGAAGGAATCAATAATGGGTCGCTTCGACTCGTCTAGTAGACTTAGTGTGAAAAATTCGAGTTTGCATGGAGATCCGCGGCGTATCCGTTTCTAACGCGAGCAGATCGCGGGACAAGAGACACATTGTCCGTCTCGTATGGACGTCATCTGCGTCGAAACGATCGGAACGTTCTCAAGCGACGTGAATAGATCGGCTACCGTACTTAAATATCGATCACGTACGTGTCCAGCTGAATGAGGTTCGTGTCGAGCGGTATTTCGCCGCTGTCCGCCTTCTGCGTCGGGCTTGGCCGTGCCGTCGATGGCGCCGATTGCTCTTCTTCCGGTTTAGGGTGCATCAGTATGAACGGCAGCTCCGCCACTAATTCACTGTTAACGATACGTAGAGGCTAGTGCAACGTTCGATTCTATAAAACGGCGCTTACGACCGACGGTCGAGATATACGGCGGACTCGTAAACATCCTATCGGTGGTTGTAACAACATTTTCAATGTTCGACCGGTATCGCGTGTCGAAACTTTGACACGGCTCCCGTGGAAATTGGATTTCAGACATCGGGCTCAGCCTGATTAGATCCTCTAAAGTTACATATTGATCAGTTAACTCCTTGCCCACGAAATTTTCGCAATTAAACCGGTCAGATTTATTTCGCTACCGATCATCATCCGCGAGAAACCAAAGAAATTTCGTTACAAATGGAAATTCACTTCGAAAGTAGGAATTTTGATGATCAAGAGGTATTCAAACAGAACAGGAAATATTTCACTTCTACCTACGATAGATAATATTTATCTTGAATTGAAACTGAAATTATACTGAACGTTATACAATGGTAGACTTCATGTTGCATAATTTATGTTAGTACGGATGTTATTCGATGAAGTAGAAAATTTATTTATGCGACGTAAACGAACTACGAAGTAATGAAATTCATCAGCGAATGAGATAACTGTTCTAAAAATCTTCGAGTTTCGCTGGTTATTACAAGGCAAGGGGTTAACGCTACCGGTCTTCTTGCTTCGAGCTAATTTTCCTCACGAGTCCGTCCTATGTCTCGCTCATCAGGCCCGTAAACTTCGGCTTAATAATTCGACTTACCCTCCGAGCGCCCCAAGACAGAGCTTCACTTTCACTTTGTACTGGACGATAATCCCGAGATTCTCGCGTTGCGAGGGATCCACCACGCTGCGAAACAACCCGATTAACCATCCTCGTCTGACTTCCGTTCCAACAACTAATTCACCAAGCCGTGCATGCACCGGTTAGCATTAGCAATTAATTGCGCCAAGTGAAACGTGTACAGCACAGAGACATCAAAGGAGCAGAAAACGTGAGCTGGATGTGTATATACGAAAGACTCCGGAGATTACAGAGAGCTTCCAGAGATTACAGACAGCAGCAGCCGTTGGAAGAAGCACACGCGGATATCTAAGATCGCGGAGGTAGATTTCAAAGCGTAAGGAGGCGGTTATCATGCAGTCGTGATGCAACAAGTACAAAGCGGCATAGAAGAACAAGAAACAGAGGAAGAAGAATAAGACGAAGAAGAAGAAGAAGAAGAGGAAGAAAAAGAAGTAGAAGTAGAAGAAGAAGAAGAAGAAGAAGTAGAAGAAGAAGAAGAAGCGGAGGGGTGGGATATCGATTCTGTCCAAGCTCACACGCTTTGGAATTCGGCCGATTTCAATTTCTCTTGAATGACGAGTGCGGCAATGGGAGGAGCGTCATGCTCGGTATTAGTCAACGTAAAATATTGCTCGGCTATCATAAAAGTTCATGGAATTTCATAAAATCCTGGTGCGAATACGATTCTTCGGTGAAATAAGGAAAACTGGATGTAGTTCAACTAACGGAAGGTGTGAAAAATAACTTATGCGAATATATTCACGTGATCGAATGAAAGAATATGTAGACAAATGAATAAAAGGAACCTAAGATTGTACAGCAATTCGAATACATTTGAGAAATTGTTAATATTCATCTCAAAAGAAAATCTGCGAACTTTACTTGAAAAATTCCCGCCCCGAAGTATATACAGTAAACCCCCGTGTAACACGGTTAATGAAATCAAGTGGAAACGAGTCGATTCTTCTTCGGCGGGTAACGGGTTGCAATGCTATAGAGAGACCACGGAAAGAGTCACGCTGAATGTTCTTGGAGCGGTGTACCGCGAACAGAAACGCGACGTAAGAGAAAGATATCCGTGCCGCGTGTTTCGCTTGGATCGACGATCCTCTTCGCCTCGCTCGTCAAACGTATCTCGTCCGGTCTCGTCGTATCTCTCCACGGATTAACAGCGTTCGGGGTCTTGTTCTTTAGTCAGCAGTGTGGACGAAGCAGAACTTCAGGTACCGTTGAACACGACACCGCCGCGCGCGGCATGCGCGAACGAGAATTCTCTGTGTTCGCGTGTCCACGGTCCGCGGGATCCAACAACGAGACACATCCACGGCGCAGCGTGGAGGAGATCGTGATCAGAGAGTGTACGCACTAAAAGTGTTCTATCAAGCAGCCAACGCTATGTGCCTAAAATTCCCGTCTCGTGAATGTATCGGTAACTAAACGTGCCAATCCGCTACGTCAGCCATGTCGCATGAATAGAAGAGAACAGAAAGAGAGTAGAAAAGAGAAGAAGAGAGAGAAGAAGAAATAGAAGAAGTAGAAGAAGGAGGAGAAGTAGAAGAAGAAGAAGAAGAAGAAGAAGAAAGAGACGATTCGAGACAAGAACGTGCCACGAAGCACGGTAGAACGCGCGCCGCAGTCATCGTAGACTTCCACGGCTGTCGCTCCGCAGAATTATGGTCCCCGTTATCGTGAATTAGCCGTGATTATTTGCATAATTCCCGTGTAATTGCCGTTACCGCTGTATCTTTATTGCTTTATCGGAAACAACGAACCGGCAATCATACGCGTACGCCTGTCAACACGCGCCGCCCGTTGTTTTCACGCTCGAAACACGTCGAGACGTTCGATCCGTCCGCTGAAAGGCAAAAACCGATGCGTCCCGGCGAACCGATCGGAAAACCGATACGCTTCGCCACTGGAGATTGAAACAGAATCAAACGCGTTTGTGGATTTTACGAAATTGCGGCGGAAATTTGAAAAATATTCCTTTGCCGGGAAACCGAGGGAAATATTCGATTCCGCTGTCAACGGGTTTCAGGGGATTTTAATTTCCTAACCGAGAGTTAGCATTATTTTTTATTAATTACTAGATTAATACTGGATTTATGGGACACGTCGATGTAACGCGTACTGAACTTCATAAATATTACTTGGAAAATGTTTACGTCGATTTTCATTGATCCTGTTACACGAATATGCATCCTAATCGTCTATTTTTGGAGTTTTACTCTTTAAGGCCTAAATGCATAAGTACTGTACACCGAATGCTTGTAAATCTAGCGGTAACTTCGACTTGGAGGCAATAATATTATTCGCATTTTTTAATTATAGTTTACAATCATCGTACTTCATACATATATGGCGCACGATACTAAAAGGCAAAGGATTAACAGTGTACCTATGAAATTTCACGATCGAAAAAAAAGAAAAAAACCCTCCGACAGATCAAATACGCAGCAACGTTAGTTTTTATATTTTCCGTTGAATTTATACCTCGACCAGGAAGATTTTATGTTCGGAATCGTTCGTACCATAATTCTGCGAACGCTCGTAACTGAAGCCGGGACTGGGCGAGGCGTTCGGACGTGTTTGAAAGGCGAGACAAGTACAGCGCGATCGGATCGATCCGGCGAGCGAGGGGAAGGCAAAAATTTGAGCGTTTCGGTTTTCTTTATAGTCACGCGAGCGGAAGATGCGACGGAAACGAGCCGATCCCCGTTACTTTCGACCGAGCGAGACACGTCGCCGAGACAATCGCGTTTCCGGAAGATTTAGAGCGCTTCGCCCAGTCCCCGCCGCGTCGCAAGCATGTTCCTCCCGTCTGACAACGGGAAGACGTTCCCGACGGAAACGATTACGCAAGATTTACGTCGTGGAAACGTGCGTGCGACCGAAAATGTCTGGCCCCCGTCCGTGGAAACGAACCGATTCTACCGAGATCCCCATGAACCGCGACTCTTCCTCGAGTTCGCTGCCCATGGCAACCACTCGTGGCATCGCGAGGATCTGATCAGCGTCAGTGACTCGGCCGACACTGATAGAGATAATCCGCGTGACGTTAAAAATAGCGGATACCGTTTGCAGACAAATAGAAAGCTTTACCGGCGTCTGGATTCGAGCTTCCGAGAGAAGCCCGCAAAGTGGCCGAGCTCGTGTCACGTTTAGAAGACAAGAGATGGATCTTATTTGCCGGTCTTACGTCTGTTCAATGAAAAGCCTAATCAGCTTACATTTGCTCGAAAATACCTTCGCTAATCGAAATTTCCACTCCGATGGCTACTTCGGTGACATACGCTACGCTAAACGGATTTTTATAAACATCCAGACAAGACGAATGGTATATCGTCAATATCAGAGACTAGGGAACATTCTCTTGTAGCTTTTTTCCAGAATATCAAGTGCCTTTGTCTGATGGGTGCAATAATAGACCGTTTCCCACCGAAAACACGTGGCTCGGAGCTCGAACAGGGGACCATTGAAAAATTGACGAAGCTCAATCTTCTGGATCGAGAGCAACGCTTCGCTCGATCCAGAGGGATTCGTTACGTCTAAATAAATAAAACAGAGAACGCGCGCCGCATGTTCGGCAACGAGCTGGCGCCAAAAAGTGGATCGATAACATCGGCGTTAGCCTAGCGGAGCTACAGGTTCCCTGGCGCGCGCACACGCGGCCACGTAAATACCTATGTGCACGCTCGTGACCGCAATTTCGGGCGCACGCAGGTTCGCGCGGCGCGAGAAACAGCGAGATCGTGATTGAACGCGTGATCAGCCGCGCAACGCTCGTATAAATAGTGAAAGAGAGGAGGAGAGAAAGAGAAACAGAGGCACGTATTTATGTATGTACACGCGGCGCCGATCGAAGATTCGGGTGTCCGCGTTCCCGGCGGCGATTAGATCGATCATCCGATTCCTGGACCGAACCGAACTGGGCCATTGGAAACAACGTGCACCGGGGTTCCCCGATACGCGATCGAACCGACGAACGGAAGCTTCGACTCTCTCGCGCGCACCGCTGCGGGTCGATCTGACCCGAATCGAGAGTTTACTCTGAATTACTTTACGCGTTGCAGAGATCGCCGAGCTTTTTCTCCGTTGAGGAAAAATATAGAGTTCGTACGATCGTGGTGATAAATTACTCGAAAACTGGGAAGAAGTGGAAGTAAATGAATGCCATCGCGATAAAGTTGACCTTAATTAATTTTGAGGAATCGCAATATCACCAAAATTTGCTTGCGAGATACTAATTGTAACGATTATTCTATAAAGGGTGATAAAAATTGACTTCTCCCGCAATTTTCACCGGCGAGCTGTACTCGAACGGATAATAAGATTATTAGGGTTGACGTGGACACGATGATACCGTTACACGAGTGCCCTCATGAAAGTATTCAAGGAGAAGGGGGTCCGCGTGTCCAAAGGTTCGATCGGCGTGTCGTGTCAATATATCCAGGCGTGTTTGTTTGACTTCCATCGACAAGCGGCGGTTTCCTTACAGGGTGCTGGACGCCAGATTGGTGTCCTCGTGTTTGAGCTGGCCGTCGAGGGCTAGCCCCCACTTATTTTTGTTGTTGGCGAGAAGCGGTGTCAGAGAGAACACTTTGCTCAGCGTGAAACCTGGCCCCACCGGGCACCCCTCCCTGACAAACATGTAGCAGAAGGGTGAAGGTAAACGTGCCCACAGGCCTCGTGATCCGGATCACGGAGTGTTCCGGGGTGTTCGACCGGCTGCGGCCTGATCACCGGCGATATTATCGGTACGCATTCACAAATTGGTTTCTGCGTGTATTCGTCTCGACCTCTGCTCCGCCGTTCCTCTTCGCGGACGCGACCTAGTCAAGGGGTCTCGCCGACTTCCCTGAAGCTGGCCGTTCATTTCAAAATGCAACCATCGAATCGCTGTCGGAAGTACTTCTCGCAATCACTGTGCCGAGGAAGACGACGACACGGAGGCAACACAGTATTCACTTGTAAGAAATACTCTCGGATGTGCAGCCTTCAATGGTTTTATTTTCAAATGAACACCTGGCTCGACACTTTAATTCACTCGCTTTTTCGGAGACAGAATACGCATACATTCGAAAATGAGATTTCTCGGTGAAACGTCGAACTGAATTTCGTTGGGCCTACGAGACTCGAGAAGCTTGAGAGGGGAATCGGAATAAAGAATCTTGGCTCGGCAGTTAACGTGCTAATCGCAACAACGTTACTGCTAGCCTATTTTCTCTTCCCCGGCGAAATTCACGACGGCTACCGGTTTCCCTCGCGAACCTTGCCGCGAGATAATTGCATTTGAAATTGAAATTTTCTTGAACCGCAGGCTCGAGGCACGCCAACGAGCCACCGGCGGTCGCGGGATCGCGCTCGGCTCTGGGAATCGAAAGATCGATTCGATTTTATCGCGGGACCCGTCGAACCGAGCACACCAACCCCGAATCTCGACGGTGTCCGAAATAGACGGTCGCGGTCCCGAGTCGCCTCGATCACGTCGGCCTCGAGCCGCCGACTGAGACCGCGGATAATAAGCTACGTGACACCCAGGCTGCGACAACCGTAAACCGTACACCCACGCGCGTGTCTCTGCGTGTATACACGAAATTTCAGCTCGTGCGTCACACTGCAATACAGGCTGTACGGACGATATACACGATGGAACAGAAAAAGAGGAAGAACGAAAGGGGTAGTGATGGGTAGTCAAGACTTCGAATCGTTTATCGATAAATTGTCGATATCTTATTCATACTTTAACGATATATTGATCATTTTCAGATACCACTGATATTTATCGACGACTTTATCGGCAGTCGTACCTTCGTTTCGAATAGGATTCGATATCCTTCAACTTTCAAACGTCTGAGAAACCTCGAAGTCTTAAAAGTCTTTTATTCGAGCAGTCTTGGCCTTGATGAGTCGATCGCCAGTGGCGTTGGTAACAATGTATTGCGAATTATCGCGAAACCGATACCGGTTAAAATTCAAGACTTCAAGAGTTAGAAACTTTCGGGACATTCAGAATTGTAGGGTACCGAATCCTGCTTGAAGCGATTCGAACTTTGCTAGTCCAGAAAACATCGAGTTGCCTCGAAATTGGGATTCAATGCCCATCGCTACGTAAGGGGTGAAGGGAGGTGTGAGGGGACGATTCCAGGGTTCGTTTCATCGATCAGCATATCAATCGTGGAAAGACACAGACGTGGAGATAATAGAAAAACAAAGTAAACCGTGAGTTTTTAGGGGGTCGGGGTGTGTGGGGGTTGGACGATCGTGACCTTTGTACAGGAGGAGAAGAGAGACAGGTTAGAGACCACCACCGATATTGGAGTTTCATATCCATAAAAAGTCCCCAGCAAAAAAAACCATCAAGAAAAATACTAGCATTCCATTTTGGAACGGCGTTCCCATACAATATCGCA